TTTGGTTTTTCCATAACATCCTATTCGCACATTTATAACACCAAGCAAATTTTTTACAGCTTTGCCGGGATTTAGAATTGAAACTTTCACTTTTTTACTTGCTGATGTAGACATCTTACATGTAGCTATTCAACTACCAACAACAGACGGGCCAACTGATTAATTTCAAACCACAAGTTAGCAGTATCAAGATCAATTTACAGAATGGCATTTCCCATCAAAGTAATGACATTAGTGAACACACTGGTACAGCAGTGAGAGGGCGAGACAGTTACTATCCATCCAGCATCCATCTCCATACATGCCTCTCCAAATATTGACATTTATCATTTGTCAGATGAACATCCTCAATATGAAGACAAATTCTTCCTCTTATAGTTGTTAGCAGGAACAAGTTGAAAAAAAAAGCAAAACTGTGACTTTGATTGTGGGAACCTATCTTCCCCTTGAAATGAATTCAATGATTATAGGCTTCTCTCTTCTCCTCTATTAATCACTTTCATGTAACCACACATAGTTACAAGCAGGCAGTTAATCATTCTAGAATCACAGATGGGGATGTGGCTTCAGATCAGAGGTTTTCCCATCTCATACAAATTTCTTGAAGTAAATTTGGTCTGGTCTTTTTATCGGCTAATGCATATACTTCTTAATAAATGTGTCGAAGGAAGTATACGTACATCCAACTTCGGTATGTCCATAAGGGCTCCAGCATTTGTATCACGGCACATTGATTTTGTCTAGCATTTCCTTTTTTTTATTTCATTGACAGACCACAGATTAAACAGAGTGAATTTAAAAAGCACTTTATGTATAAACTATAGTAATAATTCAATGCGCTTTTCTGTTGCATGGTCAATTTTTTCTAAATACCACATTTCATCAGGCTTTAGTGAAACATTTAAATGAAGAAGACTGAGTAAAATTATTTACTCAATTAAATGTTCATTAAAGAGTAGCTGCAATAAATTTGTTATAATACAGACCTTCAAAATGCACCTTCATGTTTAAGTTAACCTTATTTTCAACATTTGTTTCACTACTTCAGAGTATTTTACAGCCTTTTTGGTTTTCATGCTAAGAAAATGTGAAAATTTTCATATTCCGAGCAAAACAGTGGTGTCATCCCAGAAAGAAAACCTCAATGTCACACTGGTTTGTATATAAATAAAGGCCTGCATATTTGTTCCTTTTGCTGTTTCATTGTTGTTTGTGTGCATAGCGATAAACAAGCTTCAATCTTTTCTCTGAAAGGTTTCAGTAAGTAAATTTGGGGTGAACAATTTGAACAGAAAACCCCATGTACTGACTGAATTGTGTCTTCCCTAGATGACATCACAGTAACAGCGCTTTCAGTTGTCCACAAAAACATGGACAATTGTGAATGTTTAAAAATCGTATTTCTCAGTTCATTTAGCCAAATAGGAATGTAAACAAGTTTCCATAAACTGAAGAGGAGTACAAATTTGTAAGAGAACTGTGTCCAAGAAATATTCACTGCAGCTACACTTTACGATCTGAGAATAAAATCATTTTTGTTGACCTTGAGGTTGGTTTAATGAGATCTGTTGACAACCACCAACTTCAACACACACAGTGTCATGGGTTCCCGTGGAGTGATTTGTTGAGTTTCTTTGACCTCCTTGATTGGAAAGATTCTGGTCAGTGTGGCCGACTATGGCTCGGGGGTGAACTCGATGAGCTTTCCACCAACAAAATGTCTCTCTAAAAGCTGAGCGATAGCGGGAGCTGAAGATGTTGTAAACGATAGAATTGACCACTGAGTTCAGGTAGGACAAGATCCTAGCCACTAGCAGAACCTTGTCAACTTGATCTACGGTCAATATGGGAGGAGTTCGAAGATGTCTGAATGCTAAGGCTATGGAGACACATTGAAAGAGCATCTGGCAGATGAAGAAGATGAGACCATTAGCCACAAGCATTGCAGCTACCTGGTTACGTACCTCTACCATCCTGTCATTGTTCATCTCGGTCAGTCCGCCTTGCCCGTTGACTCGCCCGTGCATTGTCTTCATAATTTTACTGTACATTACCATGTTTGCAGCAGCAGCAATGAAGAAGGGCACTGCTTGTGAAAAGTTGGAGATATGTTGGAACCAAGTCCAGTGGTTTGCTGGCTTGCATAGAGTGATGACAGGTGGCAAGATCATGTCTGTGTAGTCTGCTGGCCAGTGAACACAGATGATATGCAGGTGGGCTCTCCCTGGAATGAGACCACAGGACAATGTAAGAGACAGCACCCAAGCACCGATGAGTAATTTGATAGTCTGTTCCTTGGTACTCAATACACGATGCTGTAATGGCCAGCAGACTGCATAAAACTTCTCGGCAGAGACCAGGGTGACAATAAAGATGGAGGCAAAGTAGGAGCAGTTTACAATGACAGGCACCAAGATACAACCAGCCAATCCATAAGTTTTGTCACTTGCAACGGGGGAGGTCATGATGCGAGAGAGCTTTTCGCTAACTGACACAATCAAGAAAGTCGTGTCAGCCACAGCCAAGTTGACCAAGTAAAGATTGGTTGTGGTTCTCATGCGCGGTACACGACAGATGACAATGCAGAAAGCTCCATTTGTGATGATGCCAAGAACCATAAAGCAGGGGTAAACGACAGAAATAATCAACCTGTCCCCCGTACTATACAAAGTAAGGTAAGATTCTTCAGGGTTGGTAACATTCTCTTCAACTTCACACCCAGCGGCCTGATGATCTGCCATTTTGTTAGAGTCAATATCAGACAACCTCCTTCTTAAGATGTGTTGGGCCAGTCTGCAGTGCTAGCAATAGGTAACTTCTATCTGTACAACTGCCAGTTGGGTGGTGCTAAGGTCAATGGTCACAGCAACCCCACTAAATCAATTGCCTCTTCAGGAGTGCTCTGAACTTTCAGCAGAGGCAAGGCACTCAAGAATCCTACATACGAACTGAAAAATGCATCACTCCAGGCTGCAAACAACACACTATTACTAAGTCACTGCATGATCAGAAGACGTCACTGAAGAGAAACATTCCTCTCTAAAAGGGTTAAAGTTCAAAACATGACAATGTCAAACATATACATCGAACAGTAACAGATTTGCAAATATTAAGCATGTAACTCTTTCTGAAACCTACACCTGTAGTAATTTGATTCCATATCTACTGTACTTTGGTACAGGGAACCAGAAATACAAAAATGAGAAACATCATCTTTGATGACGGGAAATTATGGTATGCATACAATCTCCATGATGAGATCAAAAAGTATGTACCACCTGCTAATTTCTAATCACTCACTGAAGGAAAGAGTCAGCAAACACACTTGGGTGTGTTTGCCTTTCAAGGTCTATTTTATGTATTCATTTCTGTTTACCATGAATGATTAATCTTTTATTTCGCATCTACTGTCAATAAACAGTGCCGTAATTAATCAGTGGCATGTCATAATTAATCCACTTCAGTTTCAATATCCCTAAAGGTATGCTTGCAATAGTGCGATGGAGGGGTATGTACATGTACACTGCTCAAGCATGGTATGACAGACAGAGCTACATGAAGGTGGGTACATTCAAGTGAAAACTGAAAATAGGATTACAAAAGTCACAAAAGATGCCGAGTCCTAAGGAATGAGGGTAAAACATCCGAAGGAAAAGTTTTAAAAGGAGGGGGATAGGAAAAACAAGTAAACGACAAAATAAACCGATTAAAAGATTCTGCTTGACATTTTAGAAATTTAACACTTCCCCTTCATCAAACGTTCTAGACAATTGCCTGATGTATTGGTCTTGGGCAAGCTCTTCTTTAAGTATTCCCATTACCATTGGCTAATTTTTCATCCAAAACCAATATAATTACATAACTATGTACATGCAATTGCACACAAATGGCACAATGTGAGAATTATATATACAGTATTGTTTATTTTCATCACTTTTCCATATAAAAAGGTCAATTAAAATGAAGAGAAAAATATACCATCCAACAATTGTCAAAAACTTCAGAAATGTAAAGAAAAGGGAAGAATGTGAACAAATTTTTATCGGCAATTTGCGATGACAAACAATGCTACTGATTTGTTAAATGTACACACAAAGCATCCTTGCCTTTACAATCAGTCCAATGATTCCAACACTTTCCACAGAAGTCCGTGTTATCGATTCTACTCCAAAGGAACAAACAGTGACACAATTACGCATCCATTTCAAATGAGACAATTTAACATTTTAATTATTTAATCATCAGTCTAGACATTAATGTTTTCTAACTGATGCTTATGGACACTGCAGGAGGGAGGATCCATCAATCAGAAAAAAAGGCACTTTCCCATTACTAGTAAGAGATCAGCGAGTCATAGGGTAATATGTATACATGCATATATAAATACATACGGGCACCATCGATACTGTATTTTGGCCAATATTGATATATTGTTTTTTTTTATATCGATATTATCGATATATTGAATTTTATTGATTTTAATTTTCAAGGTATTATAACAGGCTTGAATTGCTAGTAAATGTGACCGGTCAGCACAAAATGAGCTAACAAATTGACATCCACTTCAATATGACTTTGAACCTTCAAAACAGGAAAGAGTGGGATGCAAATTTACTCTCATTTTGTCATGACAGGACACAAATTGTTCTAAGGTACACCCCTACACCATAATGGTGTGATCCAAGTCACTTTGGGGACATGTTCTAGCGTCCGTATTGCGTAGATTGCCTAAACACATGGGATAAGATACACACTGCCGTGCAAAGCGATATCAACAGCACATGGTGCTAGTCTACGTTTATTTGGCTAGCAAATAATTCTCTGTTTGGGAAGATAAATTTTGTGACATTTTCGAGGCAAAGTGAACACTAATTATTGAGTGCGAGACTGAGATAGGTGACTGATTTCATTCTTCAAATGTCACCGTATAAGCTGCCTGGAGTATAAGCTTTTGGGACATTTTTCACTCAGCATGAGAACTAATGTAAGCCTTGGCTTATCGAAAATTACGGCAATGTGACAATGCACCTTTTTAATAAAGTTCGTTCCTCAGTAGCGACATTTTCGATACATTTCCAATATCATTGTTTTCAAAGTTTTTATATTTTCGATTTTTGTCCAAAATCCGATATTTTCAATATATCAATATTACAAAATAACTAACATCGGTGATATCAATATCAAACCCATATTGATAATATCGATATATCAATATATCGACACTGCTCAACGGTTATGCAGGTAATTATTGATAGCATTTGAAAAGTACTTTTTACAAGATGTAGTTTTCCATCAGTAGATTAAGCCTTTGAAAGCTTTTCAAATTTATGCACAACTTAAAGTTACTCATTTTATTAAGATGTATCTAGGAAGGGCAAACCAATGTAATATTTCATATTTTTAAAGTTCATCAAATATTTCTCTCATCACTTGTTTAAGTTCTAGGTATAAAACTGCCACAAGGCATTGACACTACACTTTATTCTCATGTGTGTTTTCTTATGGAAAGTTGTTAAGAGAAAGGTCCATTACAGCAACATCTCTCTTAATTACTCTAAATTTTAACAAAGAACTTACTGGAACTGTCATTTCCCAGAGAGATGAGAATGATACAAGCTGACACTTCCCTCAAGTCTTCAACTGTAATACTGCCTGGAATGAAACCAAATACAAATTTCTATGAAAGTAGATCTATGGATGGTTGTGTTTATTTCATTTCAAAAATGAAAGTCTGACATTTGTCTTGATAATTGCTTGGTAAGGAAGAAAAGAACTACTTTCAGCGATTCTCCACCCAAACTGTACTGAACAAATGTTGATTTTACATGTATTTAAATAAAAACCTGATGAAGCTTTCACATATACAATGTAGTCCTCTTCTCCTACCTTGTTTGCTGTTTCTAAAGAAGCTATGAGTTTACTGAGCTCTTGTCTGTCCATTTCTAGAGACACTCTCTTGTTTTCATCTCCTTCTTGAACGTTGAAGTCAATAGTGAGGAGCGGTTCTTGGACAGAAGCAATCTTGTCACTGGAGAGAGCAAGCTGATAGGAAACAGAAATACTAGTTACAGAGTTACAGGCACACTGGTGGAGGAGAACCAAGTACTCTCAAAAGATCAGCGGGCCACAGCTATCATCTCAGAGTATCTAAAAAATACTGATTCCAAACACACCTTGAGTTTCCAGTCAAAGTCTTTGAGGTATGCCTGTGAGATCGCTGCAGTATCTGCCAATAGACTGTCTCTGATGTCCCCTCGTCTGACCGTCACACACTCCACCAGCTTCCTTCTGATCTCTGCAGGCAGGCTGTCCAAGTCTTTCTCCATCTGTGAACCAACAGGTGAATATGGTTATGTACATGAATGGACTCCTAATAGCGCTGCAGTCTTGTCCAACTGAGCTAACAAAACTTACGAGGTGATTTGTGTGTGAAGGATCATCAATCCTACTTCCAAAAGCACTTTGGTTTCAACCCGTCTGAATCCTCCATAATTCACCACATTGGAGGGACGCAGAGCACATTCTTTGTAATTTAAATTTCATACAGCATCTAGTTCCACAACAGCCATTAATGGCCGGGCAATAAATGTATTGACACTGAAGAATCCATCACAACCTCCAGGGGTATTTTGAAGATGTAGAAGGGTTAGGATAAAAACAAACATTTGCTTTATCAATTACACTTTTCCACTGATAGTGTGATCCAGACACTAGTCATGGCATTTTCCTTGAAAAGGGATTCAACAAAGAAGATATCATTTGAAAAAAAGGTATGTTTTAAAAACAAAACACAAACAAAATGACCCCAAAACCAACAAACAGTACTAACAAAGGAATAAGTGTGTTCTTTAATGACTAAAGTGTACAAGAAACAAAGATGTGAAGGATTGCTAGCTGATGGAAGACACTTACCCCATCTTTTGTGAGTCCGTTCTTCACTGCATGTTTTATCCATGCTTGGCTAGCATCCACTACCTGCAACCATTCCTGGCCAGTCCAGATCTTTCCATAGTCTTGCAATCTGGGTCGACAATGTCCACATATTCCATCAATCACCTGATGCAATAACTGTTTGAATGCCGAACACAGAATGAAGGTTTATATTCAGACTGTTACAGAACTACAAGCACCAAATGACATAACGGCTCCTTCAACAGGGGTGTGTGTCTGTCAACATGATCATGGTGTAATATCAACAGGCAGTATCAACACTATCAACTACAGTTACCGCTTTTTTCTTGCATAGGGGGAACCATGCACATCATGAACTATTCACATAAGTCCCCAAAGCAAACTGTGATTAAAACAAACAAACATACAAAAAAGTTATGAGTCATACAAATCTGCACAGCATTCCCGGCATACTTTTAGGAAATCTTCCTTTTGTTCAATTGAAGAGTTGTTCAACTAAGGAGTTATTTTGGGCAGGATGTTACAAGAAAAAGTGAAATTCCTATGAACTTTGGCAGTTCAAAGCCTACAAGTAAGCCTACATGTTATAAAATTGTAGGGTGCTAAAAGTGAGGATTGCCATCTCCACATTCTGGCCCAGGTTGGATGACAGTCTTAAAAGTATAGGGAAAAGGTGGTGTTAAAAATTGGCTATAACAGGACGAAGCAACTACCTGGGCATTAGCCACAATGTAAAGAAAAAATCATCCAACCTCGGCTAGATATTCTTCTTTCAACTGAAGCCACTTCAAAAGATTTTTTTAATTTTGTTTTCAAACACAAATTTCTTGTCATTACTAGTTGTAATATATGTTATGATTGACAGTGCATGAATGAAATATTCGAACTAGATTGAGTGACTCTAGCCCTGATGTCATGACGACATTTGCTTATTTCCTAAATCATTTAATAAGCCAGTTTCCAGTTCCATCGCCATGTTGATTATAGTGCCCCTGCGCAATTAAGTAAACAAAGCTGGAGGTCAACAACAATAACAATCGCAAGCATCCATTCGCCAAACGTTATGCCACTTTGTCATGAATTTATTCCTCTCTGTTAATCTTCTGAGCATGCACACATGAAACGTGGAAAAGGCTTATGAGCCATGGGACTAACCTGAAACCAACACTTGACATGCTTGGGCTGGAGTTAGGGCCTACTCGTCAAGCATGTCAAGTTAATTCACAACCAGTATTCATTCATGATCAGAGATAAAAACATAACACATTTTAGATAACTATATAAAATTGTAACTATTCAGTAAAGTCTGTTTGGAACAAGGATGGGAAAGATGTATATATGGACATTACTTTATACCCTGTGCACAAACCCTAATTTCATGCCTTGTCATGTTAGTACGTAGTCCCACTAGCGTGGCACGGACTCTCACTCCTGCTCCATCCTTAGCCACACATCCGTATACGCAAGGTTGTGTCGGCGTACTGAACATTTTCGGCGCACCCACTTATCATCGTGGGCGCAATTTCTTTTGAACGCGAACACGATTCTTGACCTTTCCGCTTTCTAAAAACCATTTATTTAAACTGCTGCCCAAGTTTTGGAAGAGCTCACTGGTACATGTAGTATCTTATCGCTCAGTCTGTGTATTAGATATGTCTTGACATGGAAGAGCTGTCAAGAAGATTAGGGGTCATGTGACATAATGTTCAACGACCTTATTTTAAAGATGGCGACTGTGAGAGCGAGCCCATTAGATTGAATGGGTAAAGGCAAAAAGACTGGAAAATACCTGGATAACATGAGTGAAATCATTCAAGAAATGGTTTTTAGAAAGTGGAAAGGTCAAGAATCATGTCTGTGTGCAAAAGAAATTGCGCCCACGATGATAAGTGCGTGCGCCGAAAATTTCCACTACGCCGACACGAAATTGCGTATACGGATGTGTGGCTAAGGATAGAGCGGGAGTGAGAATCCGTGCCACACTAGTGGGGCTAATTTAGTTGGTATGAAGCTGATTGGTTGCACAAGAAAACAAGAAAAAAGAAAAATAGTCGAGCATGTCGAGACTAGTTGGTGAATGCACAGATAATGCATGCAAAAGTTACAGCTGAATCTAATTCTACCCTATTCATTAAATGTTCCTGATATGTTTATCCTGTAATGTACCCACCGATTCGAGTTTATCCGAGGGGATTTTCTCGAGAAGTTGTAAATTGTCCATGTAAGCAGCCATGTTGAAACCATAGGCTGGTACCGATTCACGGAATTACAATAATTGCAGATAAAATGAGGGAGGTTACAGACCAAGCTTTACGATTGCACTGCACAAGATACGCGCCCATAGAAAACAGTGCAAAATCGGACCGAAATAGCGCCGCCTGTAGTGTTGAATCCCATGAAGAGGTTGGCCTCTGTTTTGGGGGCCAGAAGATCGCTTTTCGTTTCAATTTTATGGGGTTTAGCCACGAAATTTTTTTTATTCACCTTTCAACGAAGATACCCCCTAAATAGCAGTAAAACTAAGCGCTCATTTCTGATTGTAGCCGCCCACTTCTATCCAAAATAGGCCCGCAAGTTCGGGTTTTTTGTGAAAAAATACCCCGAACCGGAAAATCTGTCCCAAATTCGGGATTTACAGAAATATTTCTGTGATGACCCCTGATTAGGGCCTGTCTTACTGTAAAAACCCCTTGGGATCACAAAATTTTAATGAGCGCGCGCGCAGAAATAAAACGATTTGTTGGAATGCACCCTTCAGGCCGGCCCAGCACTCGCGTGGCGCGGTTAGTGGCGGGGTCGGCCTCCAACGCTCATTCTCCAACGCTCCTCCTCATTCTTTGTGCAGTTCAGGGAAAGGGGTCCCTTCGTTTTCACTTAGGTTAAATTATGTACTCAGTCCCTTTCAGAGTTGTGACAATTTTTTTCAACTTGTAGGCACTTCTGCATGCAATGCACCCGGCTGCTATTTATCTCAATGCCCAAATTATCCGCCCAAGGAGCCAGCACAAAGGCAAATTAGAGTTTTGTTTGTTTGTTTTTAAATACGAAATGTAAACGAAAAAGCCTCACATGGGCCCAAAATACATGTACATGTATATGTACTAACGTCCTATGTTAACAATACCTCACATGCAAATTTAAGCCACGCCCACTACAATTGTCGCTCTGATACTGCGCGCGAGAACACGCGCAAACATTAATCTAATTTGCGAGTAGTTTTAGATGTGTACAATACGGCAGCCTGTGAGGGTCAACAGTTAAAGCCCATTCTTAAAACTTCAAGACAGTTTTGTCCCAGTTTTAAATCTTCGAGGAAATATTACAGTTGAGGACAAAATGCCTGGGCGCAACTTTTCGCCTATTATCCGACCAGGACATTATCCAGACAAACTTCCAACACGGACAAAAAGTAAGGATTTCGTTCCGTTTATTTGCAACTGTTAGCTACATTTTGACTGTTGAATTAGCCTGTTTTTTCATATTTGTACCATTTTTGCGGAGGCAGGGGCAAAGTAAACGTCCTAGATATAAAGCCGACCCCCCCCGCGAATATCATCGTAATTTGTGTATGTGTGACGCCTTGAATAGAACTTCCAAACGAATATTAGGCCTTGGATAGCAAAACGAGCAAATTCCACAGTAGGCCCCTGTCACATTTTTCAATTCATGCAACATTCAGATCGTCAATGCACCGCAAATCCCCACGCAACGATTCAGAAGACCATACCATCGCAACTGCAGAGGCAGTTGAAGCAGAGAAGAATATCTTTGACAACCCAACGAAAATCAGGATTTTGTGTCAAGGTTCAAAAGGCAGCACAAATGATCACTGACGAACCTGGATTATGCGGAAATTGCCATTTGACGTGAGTACCAAGGATTTCTTTCCCGCACTCATAACGCCGGCATTTTAAATTCAACGACCGAACTGTAATAGAAACCTACTTTGCATTATTTTGCACCATCACGCATGGGATGAAGGCCAGTATCAAATATTACTTATAACTGGTCTGTTGTCCTCAAACTAACTTTTCGATCAAACTCCAGTCGTCGTCAACCATCAATACGCGCACGTGCGTGGGTACCTCCAACAATTTTGTATGTACGAACGAGTACTACTATACACATGTGCATTTTCCTCTCAACCGTATACCTTCAGTAGCGCCCTCGATCACAATAAATTAACTGTTCGTTTCAGCTTTGTCCATTTTTTTTGCGTCATAATTATGATCTCGATTCAGATTTGACCGAATCAGAAGTCATTTAAGGAAGTGCCATCCGAGACTATACAGAAGAGTCATTCTTGCCCTTCGTAACGCTCAACCTATCACCGAAGCAAACCCAGCCAACGGTGGCAACGCCAAGGAACCGTCCAATAATAGACCCAAGCCGATCGTTGACATACCTCGAGCGTTGTATAACTAACCTTTGCATAAATTTTGAAGACTGATCGAGTGGCTGTTGTTTTAAGCCTTCCACCAGCAAAATAGATCGAACGGTATCCCCTTTCAATAGTAGTTCTGGGCCCACCCCAGCCTGTAAAGGAATCTAGAAACTACCCAATATCTAAGCATCAAAACTCAAATTTGGTTTATCACAAAAATACCTACAATCAAGACATTCAAATAACTGCAACTGAGTATTCAAGAATCAGAATCTTTAAACATTTTATTTATTAAAAGGCAAAAAGGAACCACTCAACAGTTAGATGCGAAGGTCAACAAGAAATCAAGGATATGTATCTTTAATAACATTTCACAGTTAACATGAGAAATGACTGCATTCAGAATTCGTACAAAAGCTTAATTCTATGCACATCTCCTTCGTACACGAGAAAATGCAATCAACTCCAAAGATTCGGGAACTTTCGATTTCTTCTGAGTAACTACATTATTAAAGCCAAATAAATACAGGATTTCAAAGATACAGTAAATTTGTATTCCTTACAAAATAAGATAACGTTTTGGATTGTTGCATGACTTCCGTAAATGTGTCAAAGAACATTTTTCGTTGTAATGAGCAGAACAAAGTGAACACGGCACAGGTTCGAATTACCACTTTCTGCCTTCATCAATTTCAAACTATATGACCTGTCCACTTTTAAACTGGCCAAAATCAATATCTCCATACAGAAATGTTTCTACTTGCAAATAAAAATCTAAACCTTGATGGGACCATAAAATTGTATATTTTCTCGCCAAAAGCAATGAAAAGTGATGAACAAACAAAAAAAACACGTACAGACGGTAAAATATAAATATTATTTCATACTTCAATGTTACATTAATTTTTATTACAAAACTTTCCTAAATAGTACTTGGTACTGTAATTCCACTTTCTATCTTTTTGTATCTGCTGAACATTTACTATGGAATAAAATATGCTCCAGTGCTCATCATCAATGTCAATTAGTCTTTTGTTCAAACACCTGTACACTGAACTTAAGATAAAAATTTATTCACAATGTCCAGTAGTTACGGACAGTACCACAAACAAGGAAAAACACTCTGGCTTACTTCATACAGCTGATAAGCAGATTGTATGCACTCAGCAAAATGAGTGGATAACTTCTTTTTGTCATTATGTACTAAGCTCTCTCTGTGTAAACTTTTCTCAGTGCCATGCCCAGTTTAATAACCAAGTAGTTTATGTGCTCAGCCAAATGTTGTGCCATGCAGCTGTATGAAATCAGCCATGAGGAACTAACAGCAAGCTACGGTGGCATTACAATTGTTGCCCCCATTCTGAAGACTTCTCAGCATCTGTTGACAGTCTTGCAGGCCCCTGTGGTCGCCTATCTTCTCTAGGGCTCTGGCTGCCTCGGCAAGCATGCGTTCTCGCTGGCCAGGGGAGGAGAGAAGAGGGAAGGGAAGATGTCTGCAGGCCATCAAAAGGGCAGAGGCTCGATCACGATCACTTACTGTTACTTCATCATCATCTGTAGAGAAATTAATCACAGATATCAAGAATTTAACATTTAAATTTGTTGGAGAACAAATGGAGAGGGGAGACTTCATAGTGCACAGATTCCAGTAACTTTACTGTTCACATTTCCTAGATTTTCTATGCACACTAGAGATTTCCGTTTGGTAAGTTATCTCAGTCTTACATTAGTAGCTTTTTGTACAAGATCTCTACCTTCCATAAGGGAAAGTAGAAGTTAATCCCTTCGCGCCAGGAATTTCTTCCCAAAAGCCGACTCCAAGAATTCTAGCC